TAGTGGTTGATTTTGTAGGATATTAAGCGAAAGTATGATACAATTGTTGATTTAGGTTGCGGATGTGGGCATGTAGTGAAACATATAGATCAAGATATATCAAAAAAATTGTTGATGTGTGATATGTCAGGTTTGCATTAAAGCATCAATTGCCATTTACTCACTACATTTATCACACTAATTGACATTAAAGCTTGTTTTATTTTAGAGAAAATGCTAGAAAGAGATAAAAATGTAACATACGATGGTAATAAACTTAATATTTATTCTGAATCTTTTTCTGAAACTTTTGAATTCTTTAGAATTTTAAAAAAAATTATATCACTTTTTAGTTGAAGTTGAACGAATTGTAGTAGATGAGGAATTACTTCCATTCAAGGAGAATTCTTTGGAGGCTGTAATAAGTAATCTTTCATTACACTGGGTAAATGATTTGCCAGGTGCTTAATTTTCTTTTAATGTAAGGGCTTTCTGTATGTTACCAATGAAGTTTATTAAAATTATTTGTAATCTGTTTGTACCAGGTACAATGATTCAAATTCAGAGGTCTTTGAAACCGGATGGTCTATTCCTTGCTTCAATGTTTGGTGGTGATACTTTATTTGAACTCAGGTATACAAATATGCATAATTATTCCAGTGAGAATTTATTTCTGTTTTATTTATTATTTATTTATTTATACAGAACATCCTTGCAATTGGCAGAATTAGAGCGTGAGCAAGGCGTTTCGCCGCGGGTTTCTCCGATGACAGGTAAATTACGGCGTTTTTTATCCCCCTTATTAATCCCTTATTAATAAAAGTTGGTAGAAAAAGTTTTTTTTTTCGTTTTTTACAGATATTCGTGATGTTGGAAGTTTACTCTCTCGCGCAGGATTTGCTTTAACGACAATAGATGTTGATGATGTTATAGTAAACTATCCTACAATGTTTGAATTAATAAAAGATTTAAAAGCGATGGGTGAAAGCAATGCTGTATTGGGTGACATTTGCATTAGCAAATAAATTAATTGTTAGATTAAAAAGCGTACATTAAATCGTGCAATGATTGGTGATTCAAATGTTCACAGCTTGTTCATGCAAAGAAAATTTTCTGCATGCCGTTAGGAGATAAATAATTAATAAATATAGAATTCCACATGAATAATCCATTTTATGTTCTTTCCTTTCTTTGAATATTGTGATGAATTTAAAATCTAAATTTTTTTAAAAAAGTCAAGATAATTCTTGTATCATCATAAGATGAATGTTGAAGAATCACCAACATCAGCTATAATAGACACAGAAGAAATAGACGATTCCTTCACCAAAAAAAAATTACCCACAAACAACGTTGAACATTCATTAATATTTGATTCTTTTTCTATAAATTCTATAAATTCTATAAATCTATCAGATTCAACAGATTCAGTATTCAGTTTACATATTCACACTATTAACAGACTAATCCGATTCTTCAATATAATGCTTATGACAATACTCATACTACTCTTAACAATGTTAATCCTACGAGATTATACATTTTTCGAAGACCACAGTAGTGAAATTTTTTTTCCTGCATCTTTAGTAGTTCAAAGTATATTAACGTTGCTGGAATTAATTTCAATATTTAATGCTTTAGTTCGTTGTAAAAGTGGAATAAGAACAATTGCACTATGCGCTATTGGATTTTTGACATATTTTATATTAGCTGTCATGAATATATTAATGATACCTCCGGATAGATTTTGTTATCTCAAAAACCATATGCCCAGTTGTAACTTATTTTCTGCAATTTTGGTACTTACGTGGGTCCCTGTGGCTTGTTATTTGTTGATAATGGGACTCATTACTAATGAGTGGTGGGAAAGAAAATGTGTTCCTCCGAGAAGAAATTAAGTGAAATTAGAAAAGAAATTAGGAGAAATTATGAAAAAAATTAAGAGAAATTAGAAGAAAAATTAGGAGAAAATTGGGAGAAAATTAGGAGAAATTAGAAGAAATTGAGACTTTAATTTTTTTTTTAATAATCACTTCATTCACATAATTTGTATATGTAAAATTAATGCGCATATATGCATTTAGTTTCCTTGTTAATACCCCCGTACGTGTGTACGTACGTATGTACTTAAATTCTGCATTTTTTTTTTGAGTATTTCATATTCACATAGGCATTGTATTATTAATAATCTACATATATCAATTTTTGCTCATGCATGAAAAGTCTGCATGCATGTTAGCTGATGTTTTAGTAACCAAAGAAAGTTTGGAAAAAAAACAAAATTAACCACGCGACACATAGAAAAAAAAAACACATGTTAATAAATATCATTAAAGTATTATTTATTATTAAGGTTTGTTTTACAAATTTGACAATTTCAAAGAATCCCTATTTCGGATCTGTTCAAATTATTCGAATTACTTTTAAAAATAACACTCTAAAAATAACAATAATTTGACTCGATTCATAACGTTCGTGTATTTTTTTTTAATTAAATGCATTATTAGACAATTTTAATAACGTAATCACGTGAGCGGCAAGTACACTCATTCTTGGCAAATTACTAATAAAAAAAAAAGAAAAAAAAATATGACAAAAAACAATTAGATTAAACACATTTGATAAATAGGCAACGAAACCACAAGTTCCTCAAGAAGAAACCACTATCACAAAATTACAATGTACAGTAATTAATATATATTTGATGTATAAACAGATGAAACAGATGGTAGGATGACATTCAATTTTCGTGTGAAATTCCTGAGTAAAAAAAAAAGATATTTAATATTTAATCATGCATTTCATTTGTTTATAATGAAAAACAAAACATAAATATACCGTTTGGATGGTGAGAATTATTTTGTTGACTATTTCTGCGAACGTTATTTATTTGTGGATAACTTGTCGAATTTCGGATTAAAGATCCTTCTACATCAGCAATTGCAGGTACTAGTTGTCGTCTTTGAAATGGTCGGGTAATTGGTTGACCATAGTCATCTTCATAATAAAACGCATTGTACCTAATAATGCTTAAAGGTTCCACGAATTGTGGTTGTTCTGGTTGAAATTCTATCTCAATTTGATCTTCATCTCGTATAGGTTGCGTGCTTGTTGACAGAAATTCGGGAGATTGTGATTGCGATGCATCATACGAATATGAATCAAACTCTTCAGGATTTTGGCCGGTGAGATCGGGACTATCATTATAATTAAACCATTCATCATGACTAACACCCGTAGCGGACGTAATGATCGGCCCACTTTCATGCAATCTTTCATGCAATTGACGTGGTGATTCAGGTATAGTTTGTAAATATTGAGGAGAGGATGTTTGCTGGTTTGATTCTTCACGAACATAGTAAGGTGTCAATTGCCTATATCGCCTATGTTGAATTTCAAGTTCTTCTTGTTGAGGTGAGGAAGATTTTTCCCTTATTTGTGCGAGTGTCAATTTTCGTTGTTGGTTTTGAGCTCGAGATTGCTGAGAAGATGCACCTCGCTGCCTTCGTGACGAGTGTCTCCTTTGATATAAAGTTATACTGTTATTTCTATTTCTTGTTCGACGTCGACTCGGTTCAGGATGATGACTAGCAGGAGGCAATGGGTCAATTTTTATTTGATGTTGGGCTGCATATGCTCGAGTTACAGGACGTGTACTTCTTGTTGTGTTAGACATGATAGCAGTACGAAAAAATGGGAAGAAGTGAAATAAAATGCTTGCAAGCCATCTCTACCTTCATTTATCAAAGGAACGACGTATTGTAATATTGTATACATTAGTAGATATGTAGCTGCAGGTTATCGTATTGTAGGTGTATTGTATTTAACCTAGTTCTCAAGACTAATATAGAAATAAAGCAAAAATAAAGCAAAAATAAAGCAAAAATACGTATACGTATTCTGTGATTAAACTAATTTAGGAATAAAATAAAAAAAAAAAATGCTTATGCGATAAGACTAATTTAGAATAGATTAAAAAAAGGTTAGGATGGCTGATGTGGCTAATAAGCCGATAGAATTTCCAGTTAATATAATATTTATTGAAACTATTGATCGATTTAAATTTTTATTAACTGTTATTTTATCCTATTAATTTTTATGGAATTAATAAAACATCAGATATGGGATAATTATAGTTAGTAATATGATTAAAGCTCCGAATCAAAAAATTATTCAATTCAGTTCATGCTTATCAATACTGTACGTACAGTACGTACGTACGTATTTTAATGATATTTAAGGATCTACTATACCTGAAATTCATTTATATTATACTAAATAGGTTTAATTCTCAGTATTAGCTAATCTATGCTTCGACTATCATTATCACAATTAATAAAATCAATTAAAAATGTTAGATTTATCCATGTTTAAAATAATAATATTATGATTACCTTTTTTCAAATGTTTTTATGCGTAACATCGAATTAGATGCTA